CATTGATTAATGACTTGTCTAACAAACAGATCGACGGCAATGGGCGGCAATCGGATTATTACTACTCGTTATAATTATCATATTTTTAGTGGTAATCATTTAGTGGTTACCATTGCTTAAGGAAATCGTTGTTTGTTTTATATATTCCTATTTAATCGCATTTAAACGACAATTTTATATCATTTATAATATATTATTGGCGACTATTTTCTTACACTATTTTTTAACGGAATCGTTGAGAAAATCAATTTATACCTTAAGAGATAAGAAATATTGCTGAGATTTTTACACGTGGTTTTACCTGTCCTTCCAATTACTCTTACATTTTTACCGTAAATGTATTTTTTATCTCAAAAAACCAATTGATATTAAATAAGTCATTCCAATCAAAACCACTATAATTCTTATATAACTTATTAGACAATTTTAATGTATTTACTTATAAACAATTTGTTAAAATTTTATTTTTTAGACTATAATTTGTACAAATTCTTAACGTTTTAATAATGATAAACCAGAATGACATGAAATTAACTAATAATAAAATACAATATTTTATCACAACTTTATAATAAAAAACTCATTTAAAAAACAAACTCAACTAACATTGATTAATGACTTGTCTAACAAACAGATCGACGGCAATGGGCGGCAATCGGATTATTACTACTCGTTATAATTATCATATTTTTAGTGGTAATCATTTAGTGGTTACCATTGCTTAAGGAAATCATTGTTTGTTTTATATATTCCTATTTAATCGCATTTAAACGACAATTTTATATCATTTATAATATATTATTGGCGACTATTTTCTTACACTATTTTTTAACGGAATCGTTGAGAAAATCAATTTCTACCTTAAGAGATAAGAAATATTGCTGAGATTTTTACACGTGGTTTTAGAACTCCTTCCAATTACTCTTACATTTTTACCGTAAATGTATTTTTTATCTCAAAAAACCAATTGATATTAAATAAGTCATTCCAATCAAAACCACTATAATTCTTATATATTAGACAACAATTTAAATGTATTTACTTATAAACAATTTGTTAAAATTTTATTTTTTAGACTATAAATTTGTACAAATTCTTAACGTTTTAATAATGATAAACCAGAATGACATGAAATTAACTAATAATAAAATACAATATTTTATCACAACTTTATAATAAAAAACTCATTTAAAAAACAAACTCAACTAAAATAATCAAATATTAAACTCTAGCCTATATTTAAAAGCCATAAAATCCATTGGAAAAAGCCTACAAATGATGACCAAAGGCCAGCTTTGGAGTCGATTAGTTTGAGTAACTGTTGGTCGTCGGCAACGAACTGATCGATAATCTCTGACTTCAAATTCAGTGACCAATACTTAGGCTTTCCTTCGTCTAAATGAAGTAAACACACGGAATGGATCTGTTGGTCAACAAAGACAACAAACCACACACACATTGAGTCAATGAGTTCACATATCATATCATTAATAGACTTACAAATTGTTTAAAACTAAAAACTGTTGAATATCTGTCGTGCGATAAAATAATTATTTTCTTCGACGTCCGCAGAGGAGTCTCCACTTCGCGCGTAAAAGCCTTCACATTGTCAGCCCTCCGACGAATGCAAACCTCTTCGATATTGAGTTTGAAATCATGAAAGAGCTGTTCGTATGTTTCGTACACTTTATAGTCGGACAGAAGATCCGTATAATCTCTGATCGATTTGGAAAACTCTAATTTCAAGCGCGACTCCAATTCAGTGGTGTTTGAGGGCATCGATAAGAATGAGGGACCGGTTCGGGTACTAAAGTCGTCGATTAAACGGTTTGATTCGCTTTGAGTGTATGTTTTGGCAATATTTTCGTTTTGTTTCTCCAATTCGATGATCATATCGTTGAGCTTAACCTTCAAAACCGCTAATTTTGATGCATAACTCGACTCCACTGTAAACTTATTGCAATGATTGTTGAATAAGTCAAGCGCTTGAATGTTGGCCTCCGCGAGGATACGCTTCAATAGATCGGGTTTTCGTGGTTTGACGCGACTGTAGTCGGATTGAGTCACTTTCTGGAACTTCTCGATCCCTAAACCTATTTGATGATCAAAGAAGGCTTCGATGGCGTTATTGTTCTCCAACTGAAGGCTCGCCACTTGATTCTTAATAGCCCTCGACAACGAATCCAAGTACTTCTCGGCCTCCAAACCGTCCACTAAATCGCTTATTTGGTTAATGTATTCGCTTTTCATTGATTTAAGAATCTCTTTCGCTTGACTCAAGAGTTCTGTGGTATGAATGGGTAGAGCAATGGCGCGAATACTTTGCTCCGATTTGATCTCCAGTTCGTGTAAAGTCTGCGAACACTTGAGTTTAATCTTCTTCTCATTGATATCGCGATTGCGATCGAACTGAACGTTGATATTGTGCTGCAATTCGTGTAAGCCTTTGGCCAACGATTCGTCCAATCCGTGCAACAGTTGTGTCAACAGTTGGACAGATCTCTGGAGCGACTGATTGTGCCACTCGTCAAATCGGGCCATATTGACGGCGTGGCTGTCGTACTCGTCCACAATCAGTACATTCATGTCCGCCTCATAGAACTTGAGACAGTCTTCGATGGCTGTCTGTTGTAGTCGCACAACGAAAGCGTCCCATCGGTTGGGAATGTCGGCCAGTGAGCCGTCATTAGCCGCGTTCACCAGTATCTCCAACAGCGTCGCCAACTCGACGCCAGTGATTGGCTTATGATTCTTCTCTTTGGGAACAATTTGTTTCTTTAGTTTCTTAATCAACTCCTGTCTCTCGAAGACGTACTCTTCGGTCAAATCTGCCTCTTTAGCCAACGAGAGGTCGTTTAATAAATGCTTCTTAACGGCCGGCAGAAACAGTGTGTGACAGTCGACTGATTTGAAGACATCCTTAAGACTTATTTCGTACAAATCATTCTCTCGTGTGTGAGAAGTCATGAGTCGGTGTAACCACTCTTTGGGCGACTCGTCGACAGTGGACTGAACGAAGTCCTGGACGACCCAAATCAGCGGCGGGAAACTCAATAGGTCTTTGTTGAAGTCATTCGTCCACTTCTTGCGCGACATTTGCGAACGCAATGCAAACAATTGGGTTCTTCGGGCCAACAGTTCCAAGTAATCGATGTCCGACTGGTCGATGATTTTGACCGAATTGTACAACAGATGCGATGAGAGAAGTGTCGAAACGGCAAATATCTTCGCGTCATAATTCTCGGTCACATTGTTGGCGGCAAAGCCTTCGGTGTCCAGAAAGACAATCCATACTTTGAGACCAGATTCCAGAGTATATTGAGTGGGCTTTCAATACAAAACATAAGGTTTGTAACAAAACGCTGACAACAAGTGATGACACATACCTTTCCCCACATCCATATACCCATTGTCTTCGGCCTGACATCGGGTCCGACACCGAAACCACTGGATTTGCCCATCAGTTGGTTCATGAGGAATGACTTTCCGGAGTGAAATTTGCCGACAACGGCAACGGTGGCCACCGGACCGACCAATCGGTGCAATAACTATCGCCACAACAAACGAGAGACACAATCACATGAGATAACAACAGCGAAGAAGTGATGGCAACAACAAAATGGTGTCAATAAATACCTTAACATTTTCGTCGACAATGACTAGTCGTTTGTGGTGTACATCCGGTCGGACCAATTGGATCGGCTTCTCCGGGAACGACGACTCAAACGCTTTGACTGTCAACTCATCTCTGATTGTGTTTTCGTTGATTGCATTGAGTTTTGCGTCAAATGTTTGACAATTAATGCCTAAAATCAATACAATTAGTGCTAAAAATCGATTCATTGTTTTCAATACCAAAACGTTTTTCAAATGCTTTTCAAACGAAAGCGCTTTTTAAACCATTCATACATTACGTTACGCTTGTGTTATGTATTGCCTGTTGTTTACCATTTCATCATTTTATTGGACCTTTAAATCGGTTTTTAATTTTGTTTTTTCACAACAAAAGTATTTAATACTTTTAAAGTAGTGTTAAATACACTATGGATTCAGTTATGAATTCATTATTTTCTGTCTATTACTAGTTGAGAGGAATTGAAAAAAGTTTTTCAAACAATTTTATTGATTAAAACATAATATTTTGTGATAACAATAGAGGCGATGATAAATGAATGCAGAGTTTGTGTTACTTTAGAAACCGCTTTCTCTGTCAACAATTGATTGCAATTTTTTGTGTGTCTAATGAATAGTGAGTTGTAGTGAAGATATAGGTTAATGAAGTTATAGGTTAACTAAGATATCAAACACAGGGTCACCACACGATTGTCCACATTTTATGTCCAATTTATTATCCAAATGTAGTCAATAATTGTTGTATATTTTTATATATACCATAAGAACCGAAATCCGGAGTTGTTTTCTGAGTCCATATAAAATAGTGAGAACACCTGTCGGCGAAGACACACGAAGTGAGATGAGATTCAGTAAATTGAAGCCCAAGAATATATCGGACGCTTTCGGCACTTGGTTTCTGGTGTTGGCCGTCGTCTCGACCTTCATATTTGAAGTCAAAAGTAATTCAATTGATATTTTTAAACATTTTTTTAGCACTTATTAAACGCTTGGATTTGAATTTCCAATCAAACAGTGGTTTTGCCGAAAGTACACTCCATTGACGCCACTGTGAATTACTTGCACATAATAGTCGGTCTTTTCATTGTATTGAACATCATATCAAACCTGTTTTGGCTGATGACTGTGGAGAACTCGACGGTGGGTCTGATGTTGCCGTCGGCTCTTCGGCCCAATTGGCGGTTCTGTGCCGCGTGTGAGGGCAACTCACCTCCGCGTTCATATCACTGCCATATCTGTGATGAATGTATACTTAAAAGAGACCACCACTGCGTCTTCAGTGGTATAACTTATTACTTATAACTCTTTCTATCAATAATTTAGTTATAATTATCTCCTCTCAATCGATAGGTTGTTGTATTGGTTACAAGAACTTTAGGTAAATAGCGATCGCATGTAAAATGCATACTGTGTTTACATAATTTTCAATTCGTTTGAATGAACAGATATTACTACGGATTACTCATCTATGTGGGCATTGGCGGGCTTTACGCCACTGTATTGAACCAGTATTTCATTTGGGAAGTGTTGGGAGGGTTTAATTGGGTAACGATTCTCAACCATTTGTTGCCGTTTCCATTCTGGGTCTTCGGCCGAATCACATTTCCAGTAATGGTCTACACATTCATAGCGATTGTCGATCTGTGCGGCTGTATGTTTGGCTTCGCTCTACTCTACTATCACACGCGGCTATTGATCAACAATCAGACCACATATGAGCGCAACAAAGGCACCACTCAATACAGTTTAGGCCACTGGACTCACAACGTGGTCGAAAATTTAGGGCCCAATTGGTTGGCAGCTATTCTGTTAACGCCATTAGTCTCGTCTCCATTACCGCGAAATGGTATCGATTTTCCGTCAATTAAAGAGCATTCACTCAATTCAATGAAATCAAAATGATTTTCACGTTTCGTTTTTATGGATCTTTTTTATATATATAAATGTCATAATAATTACACACATTATTCATAACTACACGAATGCGGTTAAGAATCACAAAAATTAAATCAAACATCAAAATTCTTAAGTTTATAATTGTTATTAAGTTATAAATGAAAGCATGCGTTAAATGAATAATTAATTTATGAATTATACCGTTAATTGTTATATTAAGTTATTTGTTCCGAAAAACCGAAAAAATCAATTATAAATAAAAAAAATAATTGTTATTAAGTTATAAATGAAAGCATGCGTTAAATGAATAATTAATTTATGAATTATACCGTTAATTGTTATATTAAGTTATTTGTTCCGAAAAACCGAAAAAATCAATTATAAATAAAAAAATATGAGGCAATGAATGAATGCATTTCAAAAAACACAATTCAAAGTGTGGTCTGTAATGATTGACATAAAATCACTCTAAAATGTATACTAAAACTAATAATACTTTGCGAATCAATGATTTCTAAATTAATTTAATAAATGATTTCCAAAATACAATAAATGAAATGAGAGCTAGGAATTAGGAAAATGTTAAAAATAAAATAAAAACTCAACTAAAAAACTGTTTATGAGATTTTTTAAAATGTGCAAAAAATATGGGTAAATGAGTAAAAACCGGTCTATAATTAAATAGAAAATAATCTCATGAATGAGGGCTCAGATCAGTCGAAACTCAAGCTATGGTTTTTAATATCGCGATCGGAGATTATGTCAATCATTTGCGACCGCGACCGCGATTGCGTCCCCGACCCCCTCCACGACCCCGGCCTTGGTTTCCACCTCTTCCTCCTCTCTGATAACCACGACCTCTATTTTGGTTAA